GTAAAATGGGACCAAAATATTCAATGGTACGTCGGACCATTGACTTTGAAAATCTGATGGTCCTCCTGATTATTTGATGGCCCCGGATGATCGGACCATTGCTTATTTTGACCCCTGTACTACCTGAACTGGATAGTTCATAGTTTATAGTAATCATGTCGTTATATACATATATATATATATATATATATATATATATATATATATATATATGTATATAACTTTATAATAATCATGTCGTTATAAATAAAAGGACTGTATATAGTTGGCTATATTCGTATTTATATATTTGTATTAATTTATTAAAATCATTTTAGCATGTTGAGTCCAACATATAGGTTGACTTAATTGTTTACAATATGATAATGTATTTTTTAATGGGTATAGAGGTGAAAATACTAGTTTTATATTCAATTACAGTCGATGCATCCTGGTACAGATGAAGCTGTTAAATCAAGATCTACACAAATGTGATGTAAAATATTAATATTTATCTTGTAGTTTGCAACCACACCAATTTGCTGTCCCAGCCGAGGTAGCATTCTGACTGGGAACTATGCACACAACACCCACATTGTGAACAACTCCCTATCAGGCAACTGTAGCAGCAAGGCCTGGCAAAGTGGTCCGGAAAAACATAGCTTTGCCACTTATCTAAAAGAGCAGGGGTACAAAACGTTCTTTGCTGGAAAATACCTCAACCAGGTATATATATATATATATTATAGTTGACTGTTTAGGCAAAGGAGGTTAGTGGTGGGATGTATATACCTCACTTATAGCTTTTCATATGTAGGTCTTTACTCCGCAACAGGGAGGCACCTGTCACAGTGGTTATGTAGGTATACAGCTAAGCCCATCTAGCGAGAGTACCTGCCCAGTAAAGTATTTTGGTCATATATGCCGGTATATTCATGCTTTTTCTGCATGTGCAAAATGTGAAGAGCAGTGTGATAGTAATAATATATGTAATGATGAAGGCCACGTGTTGTGTATTTTAGTATGGAAAGTCAGAGGCAGGCGGTGTGGAACACGTACCACCAGGTTGGGATGAGTGGCATGGCCTGGTGGGAAACTCCGTATACTACAATTATGTTCTCTCGGCAAATGGCAAGAAAGAGAGTCATGGAGACAACTATGAGAAAGACTACTTAACTGATGTCATTGTACGTATCACGTTGCTGACCTTATATGTAGTATTTTGGAAACCCTAATGATTAAAAAGGAAATCGATGGCGAACGATGTGCATTAATGTCACGTTGATGACTCATGCTGATTAAAATGTGATTCGAAGCCACTGCTTGTAATTACGTTGCCTATAATTACCTACAAGATATATGGTCTAATTTTCTGCAGCATAAGAAAGCTGTTAAGTATCTACGCGAGAAGGTCAGGCCACATGGAAATCCATTCTTCATGATGCTGTCCACGCCAGCTTGTCACCAGCCCTTCACGCCTGCACCGCAGTATGCAAAGAACTTTAGCAACCTGCAAGCACCACGCAATGGCAGTTTCGACAAGCCAGGTGGCAAGGTATCAATTAGATTCACGCAGATGCCTGCAGTTATTTTCCACACCATATATTATATAGTGTGGTGACTGGTGATGTAGTATGAAGGTATTAATGTTGTAGCCTGGGTGACAATTTTCAAAGGAATTCGCTATAAGCGTCGCGAGATATTAACAAGATGGTTTTCATACAGAGAACATTTATGAAGGAGTTAGCACGGTGTATGAACCAGTGATTGCTTGAATATTATTATTTTATTAGGATCTATTGAGTTGCAAGAATAATAAGTACTGTAGAGAAGCAATCTTTATGTCATAAATTGAGAATATAATTTCAAATCATATTATCTGCCTATTTTCAGGGTAAACACTGGTTGCTGCGACAGCCTCCAAACCCAATGGATAATACTACATTGGCTCTTATAGATGACTTCTTTAGAAACAGGTATGGAGGGTGAAGAATCATGCCAATTAAAGTCAATTGTATTAGATACCTAGCTACTGTGTATTGCTTTTTATATTCGTAAAATGATTATTTGCTTTGATAAAGGTGGCGAACCCTGCTTTCAGTTGATGACATGGTGGAGGATGTTATCAATGTGTTAGAAAAGCTGGCTCTTCTTGAAAATACATATGTTTTCTTCACCTCGGATCATGGCTATCATCTAGGTATGTACAGCTCTTTTCTATTTTCACCTATTCATGAAGCTATTTTTATTACTATATCAGGGGTAGAAATAAGGACAATATGCAAGTTAGCCCGAAGGGCTAGTAAGGTAAGGTTTGTACTAGCCCTTCTGGTTTTCAACTAGCCCTTAAAAGTATGATGTCGATAGGCTCCCCCCTAGTGGTTGCGCGGGAAAATTATTGATCTCGATCACGAATGCTCCGAGATGCTTTCTGAGGGTATTGTGGACTGAATTTGAATGCTCACAAACCGCAATTAAATTCCCATTAATCATACACTGATATATCTTAAAACGGGCGGAATTACGAAATCTGGTCTGGATCGTTTAATTGCCCGACGGGCAAGCCAGCCTGGCCTTTAACTAGCCCTTCCAAACAATTACTAGTCCCGGGCTAGCGGCTAATTCGACCCCTGCTATATACTTGTCGGGTACTGGCAATGTAATTGTGGTGATATTCATTTAATTGGCGTCACAAAGTTGTGAATGTTGTAAAAATTGTGTTGTGTTTGCACCTAGGGCAATTTTCTCTACCGTTTGACAAACGACAGCTCTATGACTTTGACATCCGTGTGCCTATGATGGTCAGAGGACCTGGAATTAAACCAGCGTCCCATTCTGATGTGAGTGTGGTGTCTATAGATGTTCACTTAATAGCTCATTAGCCTAGCAGATGTATATCTGTTTCCATCTAAACAAAAATAGTGAAATATTTATTTATTTATTTATTTACATGTTTGCATAACCTATCCACACTAGGAAACCTGGAATAAGCTACAATAAATTTTAGTTTGCAACTATTGAACGACATAGGCACATTAATTCTTTTATTATCACATCTTTTATAAATGTGGTGTTATTTTTATGTGTGACACTCGTTGTATAAGTGATGATCCCATTCATGGTCATATCACTTCTCAGGAATTGGTGTTGACAATTGACCTTGCTCCAACCTTTGTTGATATCGCTGGAGGAGGTGCACCTTCAGAAATGGATGGAATGTCGTTAACCACATTGTTGGTTCCAAGCAAGAAGGTGTGTTATATTTTTTTATTTATACATAGTTTTAAAAATAGATTCATCCATCTCTTCTAAATTAAGAAAGTACCAGGTGATTTGTGTTTTTTTTTATAGTGGACTTTAAAGTGTTGTCTGTACAATAAAGGATTACCATCCAACTTCTATCGTAAACATATTGACTAATTAAATTGTTCCTACCTTATCACATAAGGTCACCCTTCCACACTGGAGGGGCGAATTTCTGGTGGAATATGATGGTGAATATCAGACAGGGCCGATCCCAGGCTGCCCACAGTATATAGATGGCGGAGTGTCAGTAAGTTTACATAAAGCCAATCAATGGCCATCAAGCATGAATGCCATTGCTATATCACGATCAGCTTTACACAGTGAACACTTATTATTGTATTACTTACCATTAAGATCGATAGTGTGAATCTCACCGCAATATTGTAGTCATAGATTAGATGAGGCAATACTCCTTATATACATTATGTACAGCTTGATTTGTAAAAAGCTGTAGTGACTAGTAAGTATTAATTCATATGATTGAAGTAAAAGTAGGATGAAATGAAATGATCATGAATTCCGAGACACATTCACTAGTTCTTTTTGCTTAATTTAGTTGTCGTCGTTTTAGCATTGCAAGTTTGAATGCATCTGCAATGATGCAATGAACAACACATACAGCTGTGCCAGGTACAAGGACATGGACCATCATCTCATGTACTGCCTGTTTCATGACAGTCAGGTGGGTTTGCATGCGATAAGTGTTTAACCTCAACACATCGATTAACTCTCTTGCAGGAGTGTTACAGATGTATCTGTGATGATGCAAAGAATAATACCTACAGCTGTGCCCACTACAGGGATCAAAGCAATCATTATGTCTACTGTGTGTTTGATGATACTGAGGTAACCGCATTGTCCTCGGCCTCTCTCTTACTGTCCTCTTTTTGGGTTCTTGTGAGTACCCTTCTTCTCACACTCTTGTTCTCTCTCTTTCTTTCTCCCCTCACCCATGTTCCTCTCTCCATCTCTCTCTCTTTCTCTCTCCCCCCACCCATGTTCCTCTCTCCATCTCTCTCTCTTTCTCTCTCTCTCTCTCCCCCCCTCTCTCTCTCTCTCTCTCTCTCTCTCTCTCTCTCTCCCCCCCTCTCTCTCTCTCTCTCTCTCTCTCTCTCTCTCTC